TATATATATATATAAATGTTAGGTTGATTGTTTTCAGTTATCATACATTTGCATATTATTAATGATGAATTGATTTTGCCTGCAATGAAGAACGCTTATGCTTTCAATAAAATATAATGATTCATTCCTTCACTTTCCGATCCGCTTTATCCTGACAAGGGTCGCATGGGGTGCTGGAGCCGATCCCAGCCGTCTTCGGGCAGTAGGCGGGGGACACCCTGAACCAGTTGCCAGCCAATCGCAGGGCACACAGAGAAGAACAACCATCCGTGCTCACACTCACACCTCGGGACAATTTTGAGTCTTCACTCATCCTGTTATGTATGTTTTAGGAATGTGGGAAGAAACCGGAGTACCCGGAGAAAACCCACGCAGGCCCAGGGGGAACATGCAAACTCCACACAGGGAGCCCCAAGCGGGGATTGAACCGAAGGGATTGAACCCAAGACCTCTGCACTGTGAGGACTTGGGTTTCAGCAAACACCTTTGGTCCCAAAGTGTGTGTGTGCGCGTGTGCGTGTGTGCATGCATGTGTGCGTTTGTGTGTGCGCGCGTGTGCGTGTGCGCGTGTGCGTGCGTGCGTGCGTGTGTGTGTGATTTCACAGCTTTTTCACAGTAGTTAGGACCCTCTCTTGGTGAAAGTCTGAGACAAGAAGCAGATGACAAAACACCAGTTTTGTGTATGCACATGCGGGAGTAAACTGGATGTCTTTGTGTGTCTGATCATTGATGTTATTGCTAGCAAGAAACATCACAGGAACCAGCTAGTTGTGTTATATTAATTTGTTATTTTATGTTAACTGTTCTGTTGATGGTGGCGCGTGTACCTGCAGCGGCTCCTCTCTCTCCTGCGGTTGCACTGTGGTTGAGAGGAAAGAAACTTCATCTTTGCTGTATGTTGCACATAGAGCATATTTGACGATAAAGTTGACTTGACTTGTTTCAAATATGTAAATTGTATTTATACTTTACATATTTGAAACAAAGAATGCAACAGATCTTTAATTGCAAAACCTGATACAGTAATGAACATTTGTCAACATACCCTTGTGAGAGAGGCGAAGAGGCTTACGTTGGTGGCGTAGAAGGTGGCTCTCACTTCACTTGTACAGGCTTTAGCTTCACTCTTGTGCTGGAGGCGCTGACGTTGTCGCTGAGGTTTTTAAATTGGAGAAAAAACATGGTGATGGGTCGTGCTATGACGTTCATTTTGTCTTCTTGTTAAGTGAAATAGTTTTGTGGTTTCTTTTTTTTTGTAAAGAAAGATAATTCTTACCGAGCTGACAGTTTAGGCTCTCACTTCAGCCTTCGTCCGAACTGTCAGTGTCACTGGTTTCTTGTGACGGACGTGTCTAAAAAACAGCTGACCAAGTCGGGAAACCTTCAAAATCAGCCACCCGGTCAAGGCTGTGAACCCCTGCACCGCTGCCTTTGAAGCAATAGCCCCGTTCACACGGCAACGTTTGGTCCGACGCTGCGCCGAAACCGATCCAGTCGAGCGTTCACATGTGCACATTTGCTCCGACGTAGCTCCACGAAAGAGCTTATACCGGACCAAATTTGATCCACCTCAGGAAGGTGGTTTAAAAATTTGCTCCAGAGCAAATGCTCGTTTGCGACGCTACGCCGGAACAAATGTGCACGTGTGAATGCAGCTGGGTTAAATTTGCTCCAGAGCAAATGCTCGCTTGCGGGGGAGTGGCCTCGCTACGCTCGCTACCAGATGCACGGAATCCGACCCCGGTCGACAGTGACGAGGGGGCCACAGCGACACAGA